GCAGCAGGGCGACTGAGCCAGCACGGCGGCCATTGCCGCCTGAGGTACCTGGGAGCGGAGGACCTCTCCTCCCTCCCTCGTCAGCTCTCTCTCTCTCTCTCTCTCTCTCTCTCTCTCTCTCTCTCTCTCTCTCTCTCTCCCTCCTCCTCCTTATCCTTCTTCTTCTTCTTCTGCTGCTTCTTCAGACTAGAGACTTATACTAGTTGGACAAAGATCAGAGTTGGACTTCTGTGATATGAGACTGTGGTACTTACCTGATTGGAGGCTGGGAGAATGTTGAGGTTGATACTCGGCTGCATCACAGTTGGACACCGGTTACATTTGGACTCTGTATCTCCGACATGGATGTCCTATGGGCCTCGACATTTTGATCCTGTTGTATGACATTTTGGACTACCATATCGGAGACCTATCAGACTCTATCTATCGGTGTTGTCTACCTCCCCACCTCCTTCGTCTCTCCTCCCACCCTTCATCTGTGAATGCGTGTACGGGATCTGGGCATCGTCTATAAATGGCCCAGACCCCACCATCTCACGATTGTATGTGTGTGGAGTGATGCTATGTGAGTCAGTCTATGTGAGTCAGTCTATGTGAGTCAGTCCGTTTATCAGACTTCCGCTGCATATATGCTCATCCTACATTGGTTGATCTTTGGTTCTGCCCATACTCATTGAAGTATGCAACATGACCGCATCTCTGATCTGCCGGCCATTGTTAAAGCCCTCCGCGATCTTCTTCATCTTCTTCAGCAGCGTGGCGGAAATTTCTTCAGGTTTGAAGGACCGTTGCTCGCCTGCTGCTTCGGGATCGTTGAGAACATTGAGAACGACCTCGCCGGGAGCACCATATGATGTGCGGAAAGGGCAGTTGTCAAACTTGTCAGCGTCCACCGAGACAGCTGAGTAATTAAACGATCTCCGCATCACCCGCTTCACCTGTTTTCTTCTTCTTCTTCTTCTTCTTCTTCTTCTTCGGGCTGAGAAGTGGGCTCAGCGTCCCTTATGATGAACATAGGAGATTGAGGAACAACATGAGCATTAACCAGAGAAGATCGATCATCCCGGAAACCGGGTCTAGCGTCTTATGCCCTTGACTGTCTGAAACCAGAAAGTGGGGTGCTGCCTCAGCTCTTTCTCCCTTTCCCAAAACCGTGGCCTGACCCGCTGCCGGTAGGAGAGCCACCTCTTCACCTCGAACATGCACTCGTCTGGTTTCTTCATGCCGTGCCTCTTCGCATCATTCCCTAGCAGGGAGGTGCCATCGCTAGGGAAGGCCACGTAGGAAGGAGTGACAATGTCTCCGAGCTCATTCGGAACGATCTCTATATCGTCTATGTTGTTACGGAACACAGCCACTTTGCAGTAGCAGGTCCCCAGATCGATGCCTACTACAGAATTGTCCTCCATGCCATATCGCGTTCGATCAACAGCTGGAGATGGGGATTCATCCACCTCCATCATCACACTTTTAGTAGCTTTTGGTGCTCCGAATCTCCCGTACGATCCTTCCATCTCTCGTGCCGCTCCTGACTTACGGATAGGCAGGGACACACACATCTGAAACACAAAGTCGCTTTTCAGACAAGTTTTTTTTCTCTCTCTCTCTCTCTCTCTCTCTCTCTCTCTCTCTCTCTCTCTCTCTCTCTCTGGAGCCTCCACAACTTTGTTCACCAGGACATCTCCAATGATCATTCTCTGTCTCTCTCTCTCTCTCTCTCTCTCTCTCTCTCTCTCTCTCTCTCTCTCTCTCTCTCTCTCTCTCTCGCTCGCTCGCTCGCTCGCTCGCTTCTCGCTCGCTCGCTTCCTTCCTTGACTTGTGGATTTGTGGAGTTATGCCCGTTCCATTACGTTCCAAATCTGAGATCTTCTCGCCACCTTCCTTCATTAACAGCGCTCGCCACTCGCCTCTCCAGCTATCATGATATGCAGCAAACTCCGTGAAGGAGTTGGAATGAGCAAGGAGGGGCCACAGCCGAGATATCTACGTCGCACCCAAAGGGCGAAAAAAATGACCCACGTGCCTGACTGAACTGCTAAAAAAGGCCAGCCCCCGTTTCAAATGCAACAAATGCAACTGTATTTTGAAACTCGGGCCCTGACTAAAAGAACTCGCAAAACACAGTTTGAAATGCAATTACAAACTGCTTTCGTGAGGGGGTCGTACTTTCCCCTTTTTTAGAGGAGGGGGGGGGGGGGGAGGAATTACACGGGAGGCACAAAAATTACTTATAATTGTACTATGGGCCAATATACAATGTAGAATTGCAGTCCAGACAATGTATACAATCCAGTTTTCTGGCCACGTAGGGTGCCTGAAGTGCAATTGCAAACTGTATCTTTCCCCACAGTGTAATTATAACTCGTTTTCGTGACTCTACTGACTCTACTGAGTCTTCTTCTTCTTCTTTTTTGTTCTCACTTTTTCTTTTTGTCTTCATTTTCTTTGGGGGGTTATATTTTTTCTAAGACCCCCTAAAAACGAGATATAAACGCCCTCACACATTTCTTTGTTTTTTTTTTTCCGGTGAGGGAACTGGTGGCCAACCTGCCTAAACCGCGCGGATTGCGGGCCGCTCCGCCTGACCATGGTGTGCCCGCCTGTAAACTCAGCGGCGCGGCCTAGACTTCGGATAGGATGCTGCCATGTAGGTGTGAGTAGGCCCTTAACTTTTTGCCTTTTGTTTTTGGTGGCCCTATGGATCACAGATTAGACATTCTGCAAAGAGAAGACGATCTCAAGCACCTTCGCCATGTCCTACAGCGCTTACGCAAGCATGACTTTTATGCCAAGCTTAGTAAGTGCCGCTTTGCCTAGAGCAAAGTGTACTTCATAGGACACCATGTGTCTGACCAGGGTCTCCACATGGACGACGCGAAGATCACTCCTATTGCAGGATGGCCCGTCCCCACATCTGCCAAACAGCTTCGCAGTTTTGTAGGCCTCGCTAGTTACTACAGTAATTTTATCCGGGGATACGCTAGGTATTCCTACGTCCTTACCTTCACCCGCCTCCGGAAGAACCCGCCGTGGTTTTGGACACCCCTTTGGGAGGACGCCTTTTACGCCCTTAAGAAGGCGGTGATTGTGCGCCGGTTCTTCGCCTCCCCGATTTTGATCGCCCCTTCATCGTCACTACTGTTGTGTCAGATTTTGCAGTAGGAGCTGTACTTTCACAGGTGTTTCCCTCTCCTCCCAATTCACCTTATCCTCATGTTCCTCCTTTCCCCCCTCGTCCTGCTGACACTGCTTCTCGACTGACGCCTACCCTCCCACCACTTTCGTCCACTGATAGTCCTCCCGTTACTTACACCCCGTCGATCGCAGAGGATAGGACTATCGAGGCTCGTGCTGGGGATTGCCAGATCGCCTTCTACTCCCGTTAGCTACTGCCTGCCAAGATAAACTACACTGTTGATGAACGTGAGGTCCTCGCAGTAGTTTATGCTACTCGACAATGGCATCATTACCTGCACGGGGCACCCTTCACGGTGCGCACCGACAACTCAGTTGTCCGGGCTTTCCTCACGAAGCCCAAGCTTTCCCCTCGACAGGCACGTTGGTGGCGTGACTTATCCGAGTTCAGTTTCACCACTCAGCCCATCAAGGGTGAAACGAACCGCGTCGCCGATGCCTTGTCCCGCCGTCCCGATCACAATCAGGAACCCCTCCATCTTGTTGCCATCTCCATCACCACTGTTGATCAGTCGGTGATCAACACATATCGCACTCAGTACCGTCACTCCCCGGATTATCTCGTCATCCACGAGACACTGCGGAGTGGCAAGACCGTTCCCTCATACTCCCTCGTTGAGAACGGTCTCATGTACTGACATGGCAGATCTGGTCAGCTAGAACCACGTATCTACGTTCCCTCCACCGGACAGTTGCGCGTCCAGGCTGTAGCAGAGTTCCATGACCAGGCAGTTGCGTTCACATGGGTTTCCACAAGACGTCGGCTCATGTTTGCCACCTATACGTCTGGCCGGAGTCCAAGGACTATGCTAAAGCCTACATCTAGGAGTGTCCTACCTGCCAGGAGGTGAACAGTGCGAATCACCTTCCGTATGGCTTACTTGAGCCTTTACCCATACCCGAGGATCGTTGGTAGTCCATCTCGATGGATTTCATTGGTCCCTTCCGCCCACCTATTGAGCGCGGTCATAATGTTGTTTTGGTCGTTGTCAATCGCTTCACGAAGCGGGCACGTTTTGTCCCGTGCCGCTATCGCATTAGCGCTCGCGAGGTCGCCAACATCGTCTTCACCTGAGTCGTGAGAGATCACGGCTTACTTTAGAGTATCATTTCTGA